TGGAATCATGGAAAATACTTTATTGATCCAAAACAGAGCAGGAATAGAGAAAGACACAAGGAAGAAATGGGACTAAAGGAAAACAGCAAGATGTTAAAACCAGTAAACCAGTTGCCATTGAGTTGATTCCAACTCCTGGCGACCCCATGTGTGTCTGACTAGAACTGTGCTCCATGGGGTTTTCAATAGCTGCTTTTTCAGAAGCAGCTCACCAGGGTTTCTTCCGAAGCACCTCTGGGTTGACTCAACCGAACAACCTTTCAGTTAGCAACCGAACCCATTAACCAGCAAGATGTTACATCTAATCATATCAGTAGTTACATTAAATGTTAATGGACTAAACACTCCAATTAAAAGGCAGAAATCAACAGGAAAAAAAAAAGGTTAAGTATACATAAAGAGAAACACTGTAAATATAAAGTCTTAGATAGGCTGAAAATATAGGGATGGGAAAAATATATACCACGCAGACGGTTAACCGTAAGAAAGATGATGCAGCTGTATTAATATCAGACAAAGCAGATTTCAAGACAAAGAATATTATCAGATATAAAGAGGGATATTTCATGAAAATAAAAGGGTCAATTAATCTAGAAAACAAAACAATCCTACATGTGTAGGCACCCAATAACAGAGTTTTAAAATATATGAAACAAACAGCGACAGAAACAAAAAGGGATATAGACAAGTCCACAAACACAATGGAGAATTTTTAACACATCCTTCTCAGTAACTGACAGGACAACTGGACAATAAACCAGAAAGGATAGAGAAAACTTAAACAACGCTATAAACTCATTAAGGAGCCGCGTGGCGCAAGTAGTTTGTGATAGGCTGCTAACCAAAGGTTGGTGGTTCAAACCCACGAACCAGCTCCATGGAAGAAAATGCTGGGTGATCTGCTTTTGTAAAGATTACGGTCAAGAAAACCCTATGGAGCAGGTCTACTCTGTAACACATGGGTCACCATGAGTTGGGAGCCAAGTCAACGGCACCTAGCAACAACATAAATGCACTACACGCTACAACTGCAGAATACATATACTCTTTGCAAGCACAAAGGAACATTCATCAAAACAGCCTATATGACCATGTGACAAAGCAGATCCCAATAAATGTCAAAGAACTAAAATTATACTGAGCATGTTCTCTGAGCAAAATGTAATTCAACCAAAAATTAAAAAAAGTAAAAATTCCCAAGTGTTTGGAAATTAAGCAACGTACCTCTGAACAGCCCATAAATATTCTAGTTTCCTTTGTGATATTTCCATAACATCAAAGTATTATAATATTTCCATAATATCACAAAGGAAATTAGAAAACATTTTTAACTGAACAATAATGAAAATACAATATATCAAAATATGTGAGATGCAGTTAAAGCAGTGATTAGAGGAAAAGTTACAATTTTCAAGACATATATTAGAGAAAAAAGGTTTAAAGTCAAAGATCCAAGCTTCCATCTCAAGATGTTATAAAGAGAGGATATTATTTCTCTACTCCAACGGCAAGCTCCCCTAGCATTCTTTTTTGTTTGTTTGTATGTTTTTGGCTCCTGTTCCTCTCCTCTCTCCCATATCCATCTTAGCTCCACATATAACAATCTCCCTGCTGCAACCTGCCTACCTGCACCGTGCGCTTGACATCACACCACCAAGCAGCACAGGCACGGCCTACTGGAACCTGCCCTGCACTGATTACCGACCC